CTTTGGCTATCACTGTGAGTGTTCACTGTAAAAGTATATATAGAACAAAAGGAAGTACAATTCTAGGCTAATCAAATCTCAATTGGAGCAATATACAAGTTGTTTGTCCTGACTGACTGCTTGACTAACCGATCAATCTAGGTGCTCAGCCCTGATTCAAAGATTCTCCTAAAAGTTTCACACTTTCACGCCTTCTGCCTTATATGAGCGGATGTTAAATATAGTTTACGGCTCACACTCTCTTCAGGAAGCTCTGCATAATTAAATTTCTAATGGCAGAATGTGGTTGACATAGTTCCTTCCACAAGTTGCAAATGGATAATACCTGATAGTTTCTACAACTTTGAGAACTAATTAAAAAAAGAAAAAATAAAACTTGGATTTTCCTTAAATTGGCGTCATCAATGATTCATTCTATACATTTCAAAAGTTAGTTAGCATCCATTTTAATGTGAAGGCAAACACTTTCGCGCATTTTTCACCATTCCGGGTGGAATTCTGTTACGTTACGAAAGGTCACTTCAGTTTTGTTGTATTCGAACAGATCTTTTTATATACGATTAAATGAAATTCACTGTATCTAATATTTAATATATTTGCATGACAGATTCCTTCTTCACGGAGCGCTATATACCATTAAAGGGTGACTATCTGCGCGCCTTGCAGGAGGCCGATCTCACCATGAAGGCGGGCAATATAAAGGGACGGAATCTGATGTTGATGCATGGCACGGCGGATACGCTGGTGCATCAGGAGCATACACTAATGCTGGTGCGAGCACTTGTCGATCAGCAGGTGAAATTCCGTCATCAGGTATATCCCGATGAGGATCATGCCATTGCCAGATCGCTCAGTCATGTGTACAAGACAATGGAATGGTATTTCGATGAATGCTTCGGCCCCGTCGACGACAACGAGTGGGACCCAACGGGTCTGTTTGTGTTCAAGCAATAATTAAGACCCCCCTACGATCCTTATGACGAGGATCCGCTAGCCAATCAGCTAATCGACATCGAACTGGATCCCGGCGAGCGCAACAACCAGACAACGGCGCTCTCAGCCCTGGATGAGCTGGACAATAGCCTCCAGGCGCTTGACCTCATGACCTCATCGGCAATGACACTTAGCAAAGTCTCCAGCAAGCTCTGCAACTATAGTAGCAAACGAAAGCTCCAACAGACCGAAACGACGCTGGCCAAGAAGATTCGCATCCTTCAGCATTAGCATGTGTGAGTGAGTGCATGTATGTGTATGTGTGTGTATGTCTGTGTATGTGTGTATGTGTGTGTGTGCGCGTGTATGATTGTAAATGTATGCGTGATTATTTTTAACTCAATATGAACAAAGTTGGCTCTTTGTTGTATTTTGTTCGAAGTTTTGCTAGTATTTTTTTTTTAAATTATTTTCTGGTATTTTTGTCAGTACGTTTAGTAATTTTGTCCGTATTTTTAGTATTATTGCAGTATCTTTTAGCATTTTCCTTTTAGTTTTTTTGCGTGTGACAACGTTTTTGGGGTGTGCGTGTGTTGAAATTTCTTGAGATGTTGCGATAGCGAAGCGTTCTTATAGGCCAGTTTATAACGCAAAACAAAAGCAAGGTGATTCATTTATGCGACTGATTATAAACACATTATTGTGTATTACATGATAACAAACCAAAACGGATTAGAAATTGTTTAAACAATTTGATGCCATTGCTTGTCATGGGGCTGTAGCGAATATATATTGGGATATCGTAGGGGAAATATTACAAAAATGCCGAATAGATAAGCATTCCAAATTTTCAAGCTAGCAGTAAAAAACAAAAACAAATGAACAAAAAAAAAAAACAATGATAGTCATGCTAGTACATAATACATACAATATATATGTTTGTGTGTCTATTATACCGTTTTATGGTTTTATGTCTCATAATTGTTGATTTATATGTGTATGTGTATGTGTATGTGTATGTATGTATGTGTTCTGTGTTATAGATTGGTTTAAATCAATAGCAATGCTAAAATATAGACGAAGATGGTACACATATATATATATATATATATATATATGGATATGTGTGTATGTGTGTATATATATATATTTGACTGAACGTTATTTTTTGTATATATTAATAATGAATATTTTAAACAACACACCTAATTTATGTCCAACTTAAACACACAAAACAAAAACAAGTACGAAAAATTAACTTCGGCACGCCGAATATTGAATACCCTTGTAGAATTATGGCGTACAGCTTTTGCAGATGTGCAAGGAGCAAAATGAAGCTTGTAATTGCAGAGTTGAAATATCTTGAAAATACTAATTCTTCAATACATTCTGTCTAAATAATATAATATAAAAGTCCGATGTGGATCAAATATGAAGCACAGTGAAAAAGATATATGCTGGGCTTGAAAGGCTGGAATTAAAAACCAAAAATGTTGTTGATACAATAACCCTACTTTTATACCCTGAACCCATTAAAAATGGGTAAACCAAATGTATGTAACAGGCAGAAGGAAGCATCTCCGACCCCATAGAGTATATATATTCTTGATCAGCATCAATAGCCGAGACGACCTAGCCATGTCCGTCTGTCTGTCTGTCCGCCTGTCCGTCCGTCCGTCTGTCCATATGTATGAACGCAAGGATCTCAGAAATTTGAGATGTAGGTGCTCCTAGTTCCCGCGCAGATCGAGTTTGTTTCCGATAATCGATAACTCACTCCGTTTCCAAGCAATCGATAAAAATCGATATCGATATCCTGTTTTTTGGGCAATTTTGGTAAATAATAAGAGCTAGAGTCACAAAACATGATATGTTGCTTCTAAAATAGAATATATATATATATATATATGCACTTGATGTTGGGAGAAGAGGGTTCAGGGTATCCCCTAGTCGGGAGCTCCCGACTAGAACTTCTTACTTTTTTTTTTTTTAAATACAAATTTATTTTCCATGGAGTAACCATTTTCCGACAAAGTTAATAGACCTTCTACAAGTGTATTTAAGACAGAAAAAGATATATATATATATAAATGTTTTAAAAAGTGTGCTAGAAACAATTTGAATGTAGTTCAAGCCAAGCGAAACCATACAAAAATTTAAATGCTTTCTTACTAAATGTTAAAATGCGCCTAAAAGACATAAAAAGAAAAACTATCGAAAAGCGAAAGAAATTAAAAACCAAACCAAGATCATGAATAAATGTGATAGTCGCATATGAACGACTATATGATGCCCTATGCTAAGCCAAACTTGAAATTATAATATGCATAAAATATAACAATTTCCGTACATGTCATGGACTATAATCAATATAAGCAGTTTTTTTTTTGTTAGTATAGATAATATTCCATTTGGGCAAATTATTGGTACAGGGCATTACGAGTTGTAGCTTAATCAAGAGATTGCGTTTTAAAAAAAAAAACTAGAATACAGCCAAACAGAACCACTTTTAAGCGCAGCCGGGACATAAGCTATGCAATCTAATGTCCTCTATTCAAAAAAAAAATATATATATTATACTAAATGAAAATGTTGTTGTGGCCTAAGCCAAATATGAGATCGGTATAGAGAAAAATGCCCACAGAGAGGGAAACGTTTTTTTTTAGATTTTTTTACCATAAACTTGAATTAACTACGATATGTGTATGTGTAAATGCGGCAACAAATTGAATTCCATAAAAAAAAAATGAAAAAAATATATATAATTAAAAAAAAAACAAAACAAAACAAAAGAACATACATACATACATACATAGGTGTTAAATGTTGCGTCAATACGCCCCTAAAAGTGGCGAAATTTTATTGTAGAGTAACTGTGCGGCTGGTTCAAAAACTATTACCAATATTTATCATAAAAAAACAAAAACAAACGAAATAGTCAAGCTTTAAATGTTGTACACAAAACAGACGGATTCGAAGAGTACATTTATTGAAACCCAAGCTAAATGCATAACAAATAGGAACTTATAAGCCCAAACAACTATGTATGTAATATTTGTTGAGTGTACGCAGCTCTAAATGAATGTTTAACGTAATCCCCCCCCCCCCAAAAAAAAAAAAAAAAAATGAAAAAAAAACAACAACAAAAATTTAGAAAACCGAAATACATATTTATAAATGTTTAAGACAAAAAGCTATTTATGTATGTATACATATACAAGCGTACATAAACTAAACTAAAACTAAAACTAACGACGTCAAATGCGAACATTCATACACAAATTATTTATACATACAAGTCTAAGTACATAATGAATTAATTAAGGGTGTGTAATTGCGCCCGTATTACTTATTTATGTACGTTAACTGGAACAAAAATGAAGCTAATAAAAAATATATAAAAAGACATAAAAAACAAAACAACTAATTTCCGTAAGGTACAAACTACTGCAAATTAGTTGCCGCGTAAAAAAACGAAAAAATAAACAACAACAACAAGAACAACAACATCAACAAAAAACTATCCCAAATAAATGACCAAAAAATACACAACAAACTAGAAACATTTTAAGTTGTCATTTCCAATGACACACCAAACGAAGTTCTTTGGTTTCAAGACAACAATTTAAAGTAACAATAAAATTTTGAAATCGTAGCATGTCCGTATGTACTTACGTATTGTATTTTGGAAAACGCTAAGTGTACCAACAATTGAAGAACTCGAAAGTAACAAGCAGCTAACAAATTAAGAAAATCGAAACAATAAATAAACATGAAATTTTTGTGTGTATGCAAAATAAACAAAACAAAAACGGAGTTTTAACTTGGGGCTTTGATATTACAAGCTTGTGTCATTTTTGAATCAACGCAACATGAAAATATAGACTACATGAACAAAAAATAGAGACTACATTTAGTACAAAATTTTGAAAATTATAGTCCGTTACTTATCGACCATTGCGACCCATCATCTCTTTAATAGTATCGATAGTTCTTACTATTATAGTAGGCATCGATATGCACAGGGCTGTAATACCATTGAATTTTGTTCATCTCTAATACTGCGTAGCCGTCGCGTGTTCGTAGATAAATTGCAATTTCGCTAGCGTTTTTTTTTTTAATTATCTTTAAAAAAACGCAAATAAACCAATTCCAATTGACGCTGGGCCAACAGCGTATTGATTGTAATCAACTTGCAAACAAATCAGCAATTCAACTTGCAAACGGTAATAAGCTATTCTCGAAAGAACAAATTCGTGCGTGTATGTGTCCATATTTGTGTGCGTGTCTGTATATGTGCATAAAAGGCATAGCAACCAGACAAGCGGTCGTTCCCAAAGCATGAAAGCACTTAATTGTGCTTATAAGGATTGCCACAAATGCTGCAAGCGGCGCATAAGCAATCACCCGAACCGCTCGTTAACGATGACAAATGAATCTTGGGGCGGGTTATTTTTTTGTTTTTAACCAAATTTAGTCAAACATTTACTTAATAGAAGACAAAAAAAAAAAAATAGTATAATCGCATTGAAACTTCGTTTTAGTGAACATGTGCATGTGTATGCGTGTATTAGTGGCGTGTGTGTGTATTTGCTAAACTTGAAATACAACGCAAACGCAACGAGAACAGACTCGTCAAGGTAAAGAAAAAATGTGTGAAAAATTCCAACGGAATTACGCGAGAAGCAAATCGGAGGCAGGAAAGAAGCTAAATCAGATTCTCTCTGCATGTATGTATGTATGTTTGTGTGTGTGTGTGACGTCGATTGCGTATCGCTCTCATTGTGTGTGTGTGTACGTGCAAGATACATTTTGCGCCTGTAGTTGTAGCAGTAGTAGTTGTACTCTTGGGCGGGGGCTAGTGGGTGTCTGTTGATTGGGATTTGGGGTATAAACGTACAACTTAATACAACAACCAAGAGAAAAAAAACCCCTATTTTTGTGAGAAGTGTGAATCTGACGATTGTAATTTCTAGAAAAAAACTTTTTTTTTTAATCACACTGCAAGCAGTTGCATAAATTAAATGTTTACATGCTTGTCCGTTGTCGCCTTTGCGCAGTACTGCATAACGATTTAAAATCAGGTGGCAACGCCGACCTACATTTGACAACAGCGCCGTTTTCTCAGTTTCTGAGAGCAATTGCCGGGTCTACATTTCAAAAAAAAAACTCACTCTGTTACAAATGAAATGAATTCAGTGATCAGTTATATCTTCATAACGCTAGCCGATCTATCGGCCGTGTATATTATGTAATAATTTGTGCCAGAATTAGACTTATGAAAGTTTTGCCAAGTGATTTCTCATAGTTGATAGGTGGTTCACTGCTTCGAGTTCAATCAAACTTATATTTGCAGCTGGAAATTCACCAACAATCGATGTCATATGATGATGCTTATCGATATTTACGATAGACACATCCCTGCATGCGGCAACGCTGGAGCAAAGCAGTAGCTCTTAACTGTGAATATTGTCTGTAGCGGAGAGCAGTTAAACAAATCGAAACATTAATATTGTATAATATTTGTGCTAACAGTGCAGCAGCCTGAGCACACTTTGTCGTTCTTCTTTTTTTTTTTTTCATTTACAATACATACTTGTGAAATGAAAATCGTGTTCTCTGTCTCTCGTACCACAAAAAGCCGAAAGTGTTAATTTGCCAAATTCTGTATATATATATATATATATATATATATATATATATGTATATATACGTATATATGTATGTGTATGTATGTAAATACATACATATGTTTGTGTTTGTCTAATTAAACATCAATGCTGCTGCAGCTAAGATATCTTGTCTGGTAAATATAACAGTGTCGCGTGCGTTTTTATAATTCTGTGTGTGTGTGCGTGTGTGCTATAATTTCACGTCTAGGTTTGAACTTGATAATGCAACTGCATGTGAGTGCGTGTTTGTGTGCGCGCGTGAATAAATTGGTTAAAATACGCATAATTAACAGTTTTTGCATAATCGACATCGTTGCCGTTTCTTTTTCTTTCCAATATATGTACATGTGCGCGCTATTTGCATTGCCCGCGCTCCCGGCACCCACGCCATAAGCCACCTGTACGCCCTTGCGCGCTCACACACACACACACACACACACAAAATTAAACGAAGTGATTTGCGGTAGTCTCGTGAGCACTGCTCACTTGCCAGTGCGATAACGAAAACATATACATATATATATGTATATGCATATGTATGTATTATACATATATGCATATGTATGTATATTTGTATTTTATTGTCTTCTTTGGCCCATTTGGCTCTGCTTCTTACCGATTTCGGCTATTGCTAAGCACATTTGTGCTCTGAAAAAAATGTACGAATATTTGCACAGCTAAGGCGCCGCCGGTATTGCTCTCTACGCTTCAGCTGCATTTGGCGTCGACGTACATATCTTGCAGCTGCGACTGCAGTTGCGAGGGCGGCGCCAATGAATTTCTATTTGTAGAAAAATAGCGCATAATTTGCAATGCAATTGTTTGCGCTTTCTATTTAGTAAAATCCACTTTTGATAACACATGCGATCATTGGGCGTGTATATATATATATGTGGTTTGTCATGGTACAATGAGATCGCGCATTCCTGACGTCACGAGACGACGTATGCATGATCTCTTCTCTTTTATTTTATTTAATTTTTTTCTTTTCTGTTTCGTTCGTTGATGCGCATAAAGAGAGCCAGAGAGCGTTTGAGTTGCCATACATGCGTCAATTGTCATTGTTGAATAAATTTTGGGAAGCAGTGGCAACGCCGTGTCAGCTTGTTTATTAATGCAAAATCTTGAGCTCGGGTCAAAAAATGTTTTGCAAATTTAGGAAAGCAAGTGGTTTGCAAAGAGCGTTTTTATTTTAATCATTGTGCGTTTTTTATTGCAGTTGCAGCCGCTTGAGACGGAATATCACGGCCTAGCCTTGCCTTGCCAAGCAAACAAGTTTGCCGCGTTGCGTATCTAAAAAGTGAGTAGTTGCACATTTGGGACTGTTATGAAAACCGTCAGAGATTAGACGGACTAGCTTTGCTTAGCTGCCCACAGGCAACACAACTGCTACAACTACAACAACAGCTACAACTACAACTAAAACACCGCATTGCACCCCCCCGCTGTCAACAAACGCCGATGCTGCGCCAGAGCAAGAGCTGGAGCCAGAGCCAGAGCCACAGGCAAATGCAGTTGCAGTTGCATATGCACTAACTACGCGCCGCTCAACACAGCCGCTCGACAGCAACAACGCCAGCAGCAGCAACGGCAGGAACAGGAACAGCGGCGGCGTCGGTTGATCAACACTCACATCTAGACAAATACATACACAGACACAGACACAAACACACACATACATACACATACATATAGACCGCATACAACGACTGTGACATTACAGTGAGGGTGAGAAACGTAAGAGGTCCTTACATTTCACGCTATAATAGACAGAGAGAGAGAGAGAGAGAGAGTGAGAGGGAGTGAGACAGAGACAGAGAAGTGAAGGCAGAAAGCAGGAGGCGTATTCGCTGCCCAGCACACAAAACGCCCATTTGAATGGATCCGTGTGTTGGCTGGTTTCAGGAGGAACAGGAGGGACCAGCGTTGCGTACATGGTTAAAGATTTGGGAAACGAATGCCCAGGAGATGGGTGCACTTCTTGAGCAACAGCTACAGCAAAACAACAATAATAATAATAACAACAACAACAACAACAACAGCAGCAGCAGCGGCAGCAGCATCAACAGTAACGGAAATAACATCAGTAGCACCGGAAACGGCAACAGCAACAGCAGCACCGGCAACAGCAGCAACAATAACAACAACGCGGTGGCCACAAACAATTTATCTAGGATAATAAGCAACGGTCCTACGATCAGCCTGCGTGATCCCGACTCATTACAAATTCTTCTTCAGCAGTTGAACGAAACGCCAGATCGTCACGGGAACAGCAGCAACATTAACGGAGGCAAAAGCTCAAGCAACACGTCTATCGATTCCACATCGAACAACGACAATAATTCGCCAGCAAGCAGCAGCAGCAGTAGCAGTATCAGCGCCAGCGCCAGCGCCAATACTAACAATTCAGTTAACGGTACACCGACAACAGCAACAGCAGCAGCGCCAACACCAACAACAACTACAACACCAACAACAACACCAACAACAACAACACCAACAACAACAGCAACAACAGCAGCAACAGTGGCTGCTTCAAACAGCACAACGACGCCGACAGGTGGTGATAGCACCAACACCACCGCCACGAACACCACCACAAGCACTACCACAACAACCACAAGCACAACCACCGGTACCACCAGCAGTACCACCAGTACCAGTACCAGTACCAGTACGAGTAGCAGTACCACGAACAGCAGCAGCAGCAGCAACAACAGCAGCAGCAACAGCAACAGCACCACTTTTGTAGCCAATCCCGCGTCCAAGGTGCCGCTGCACGAGCGCGCCAACACCTATTATAATCCATCGCGCAGGAAACGCGTCGTGGACAACAAGTCGAGCACATTAAATCTGAACAAGCACGCCGAAATGATAGCCAAATATAAGGGCTGTCCGTGGCGAGTGCGCGATTATCAGTACGGTGACGGTATAATTGGTTTGCACGAGGAGATCGATCACTTCTATCAGTATGTGCTGCCCACGCCCTGCGAGCATGCCATTCGAAACGAGGTGGTCAAGCGCATCGAGGCCGTTGTCCATTCCATATGGCCGCAGGCGGTGGTCGAGATATTTGGTTCCTTTCGCACCGGCCTCTTTTTACCCACCTCGGATATTGATCTAGTGGTACTAGGTGAGCTATCCGGCAGAGTATTGCAATTAATCCCAACATATATACACTAATCTAAGCAATATAAATGTTTAGCTTTGTATTCAATCAAGTTTGAAGCTTGAATATAAACCGTTCCAAATCGAGATTAACACGAGAAGATATTGCCATACGATACTCTCAACATATATAATTATACCTTTGTATATATTAGTTGCAATCAAAAGTATTAGAGAGCAAAATTTTTGTGCTACAAAAGTAAATATTGATTTGTAATTGAATGCTTGTCAAATTCGCATCTTTCTAAGTTGTTTCCAAATGTTTTCTCAACCATCAAGTCAGATTCTATTGTATCATTGTATCATTGTAAAGATTCTCAAGGAACAATCAATTGTATAGCAAAGTTTTTCATTGATCTTAAATCGAACTCTTATGTTTATACTATCAATATTAATTTTATAGAAAATCACAGTCTGCTTTTAAACTGGATTTGCCCGTCCGTACATTAATTCAAAGTTTTTTTTTAAAAGGTTTTTATTGTTTATTGAATATTAAGTTCTTTTCGTTTTTATCGCTTGGAATGGTCGAACACATTTTCAGCAGCTATTTTATGAAGCTTGTTCTCTTTTTCCCTTCTCTCGCTCCCCCCTTTTTTTTGTAACATTTTGCAGGTCTGTGGGAGAAGCTGCCGTTGCGCACCCTTGAATTTGAGCTTGTTTCGCGAAACATCGCGGAGGCCTGCACGGTCCGAGTGCTGGACAAGGCATCTGTGCCGATCATCAAGCTGACAGATCGCGAGACGCAGGTGAAGGTCGACATATCGTTCAACATGCAGTCGGGCGTACAGTCCGCGGAGCTGATCAAACAGTTTAAGCGCGATTATCCTGTGCTGGGCAAGCTGGTGCTGGTGCTAAAGCAGTTTCTACTGCTGCGCGATCTCAACGAGGTGTTCACGGGCGGCATCTCATCGTATTCACTGATACTCATGTGCATCAGTTTCCTGCAACTGCATCCGCGCGGCATCTGTCACGACAAGACGAATCTGGGCGTGCTCTTGCTCGAGTTCTTTGAGCTGTACGGTCGTCGTTTTAACTATATGAAGATTGGCATTTCCATTAAGAATGGCGGCCGCTATATGCCCAAGGATGAGCTGCAGCGCGACATGGTCGATGGCCACAGGCCATCCTTACTCTGCATTGAGGATCCCCTAACGCCCGGCAACGATATCGGACGCAGCAGCTACGGTGCCCTCCATGTTAAGCAGGCCTTCCAATGCGCCTATCGCGTGCTCACCCAGGCGGTCAGTCCGCTCAATCTTTGGGGCACCGATGCACGTGTCACATCCATATTAGGTGAGTGTATATTCAAATAGAGCTAAGCACTTTACCACCTTGACCCCGCCTGTTTATCCAACATATATCTAGAGATCAGCTAATCTCAATCTTTATGTATATGAACTCTAGAAGAGATAAGCTTTTAATATATTTAATATATAATTTAGATTCGCCTTTTATGTTAAGTTTGAGCATAGGCAAATTTCAAAATGAACTGCATATTTTTGAATGTAAATGCAGTGCTAACAGAAATTAGAATTGTCCAGAACTTTGAATCGGCATTTGAAATGAATTAGATAAACTTTGAACTTGCATTCGGTTTTTTTTTTGTTTTTGATGGAAATATCAAAAGATGAGGAGTAGACATATTTTGATTCTTTCGATTTTTAATTGTCAGTTTTATTTAAAAGTTGTTATTGAAAACCTGAAATAATATAAAGAAATATTACAAATCTAAATTAAAAGCATCAATACTTACAATTTGAGTCTGATGAATCGCAACTGTATTCATTTACTTCCACGATCCAGACAATAGACATGTCGTTTACTCAGTCCAGTTCCAAATGAACCAGTTAGACGACTACATTTTGAGTTGAAATTGATTTTTAACATAAGAAGAGAGAGATTTGCATACCATTATTTGTTTGACGATTGAAATGTGCTTTTATAAAGCAACTGGACGATTCTAATATCAATTTTTGTTCTTGATTATCTGTATATAAATATATATAGGGCGCATAATACACATAACGGATGACGTTATTGACTACCGCGAATGGATACGGGAGAACTTTGAGTATCTGACCGCCGTGGATCCAATCTCGCCACTGCCCGCCTACACGAATGGGGCCGCCAAGTATGTGATCATGCCCTCCGGTGCCGTAGTGCATCAGATTTATCATCCGCATACGGTGCTGCAGCCGCACGCGCTGGCGCAGCCGTATCATACGGCAGCAGCAGCAGCAGCGGCGGCGGCAGCGGCTGCACAACAACAACAGCAGCAACAGCAACATCAGCTGCCGCCACAGGCGCAGCTGGCTAGCAATCTGAATCTGACGGCGCTGCGTCATCGGCGGGGCAGCACCTCATCGGCGGATGATTCTGAGGACAGTAAAGACTGCGAGGTTGGCGACCGGGAACGGGAGTCTATAACATCTGTTGGCCAGCCGGTTGTCGAGGTTATTGACATCACCTCATCGCCGCCAAATGGACTGGATGTGGCAGCGATGCCCGTGACTGTACCCAAGCCGATAATGGTGGCCATCAGCAACAGCTCGTTGTCGGGCTCGTCGGTAATGCACACACCCACACGCATAGATACATGATGAATGGCTGCCGGCCTCATGCAGCCGCAGCACCAGCAGCAGCAGCAGCAGGCCGCCGGCTGTGCCATGCTGGCCGCAATTGCTCCCAAACCAAATGCCACGCCGCGTGCGCAACTGTTGCGCACCAACGGCGGCGTCGCCGGTGCAGCAACTGCGGCCAGCATGCCAGCCAAGCCACAGGCCCAGCCAAGCCAACATACATGTATATCTTCTTCACAACTACAACAGCCAGACATGGAGCAACTCAGCGATGCCCCGGCGGACGGACTGGATGATCAAGTCTTGAACAGCCATATCTACAACACAACCACCGGCCACGTCCAAGCCAGCAGCAGTAGCAGCAGCGGCGGCGGCGGCGGCGGCGGCGTCGTCGGGAATACAGCGACGCGAAGCTACGGCCAACAGCAGGCGGGGCAGCGCAGTCACTCGAATTCGTATTACCGTCAGCCGCTCTATGTGCCACCACCCTTGCAGCAGCAGCAACAGCAACAACAGCAGCAGCAGCAATTGACCAAGACCATTTCCAATACCCAGCCGAGCAGCTACAATGGCCATCACGCCCAGCAGCAACAGCAGCAACAACAACAACAACAGCAGCAGCGGCCGCAGCATTTGCGTTTGGCCACCAGCAATAGCAATAGTGGGACAAACAGTGCTGGTGGCGGTTACCAGCAGCATCATCATCATCACCATCAGCAACAACAACAGCAGCAGCATCATCATCATCACCACCATCACCATCAGCAGCAACAGCAGCCGCAGCCGCATCACCATCATCAGCAACACCCGCAACAGCAGCAACAGCATCGGCGGCACTTCCAGTCGAGCGCATCAAAAGCGGTAGGTTCGCCCACAGTATCATCATCCTGCACATCAGCAGCGGCAACAACGAGCGCGCATAGCGGCAACAGCAGCAGCAGCCATAGCAGCAGCAGCAACAGCCGTTTGCAGCAAATGCGCGACACTCGTCTCGTCAACTCATCCTCCTCAATCATTTCCATATCGTCTGAATCCTCAGTTGGCAGCTCAAGCAGTTCGTCCCCCCGTTCACCGCGCTGCGGCTCTGGTGGTGAATCCCCGGACTCGGCTTCCGGCCAGCTGGCCACTGCAGAAGATCGCTGAGGATATCCAGGCCCAATTCCAATACCAGAGACGCTATGGCGGCCACTGACCCACCCAACAGTTAAGTGAACGGGACAGAGAGCGTGCGAGCGAGCAGAAGAAGAACAAGAAATCAATTCAATGAGCGCGCAACAGTGAGCCATATGAGAGAGAAACGTGTGATGATGAGATGCAGTGAGAGAGAGAAAGAGAGAGAGAGAGAGAGAGCAGCGTTTTTGTGAGCGAAAGAGATAGAAGATAGATAGCGAAAGAGATGGCAATAGTCATGTGCATTATCTATATTAGCTGCGTGCGTTTAGAATTTTTTTTTTTTTTTTTCTTGTGTGTTTCTGATAGTTTTGTGTACCACATTTTAAGATCACATTCAATCATTTATGCATATACACATGATGTAATGTGTACATAATATTTGTTTATGTATGCACATGTGCGTATGTGACCGCGTATTGACATACATATATGCAATGTAGGCGTGTATGTATTTGTATATATTTATATATATTTTTTTATTAGCAATTTTGCATTTCAACGTTTATGAATACAACAAATTATATACTCAACAACCTCTCCCCCCTCCAACAAAAACAAAAAAAAAACCAAAAAAAAAAAAAAAAAATTAAAATAAAAAAATCCCTTAAATAACAAATAAGAGAAAAAATTGCCATCTTGCATATAGAAGCATACACACACACACACACTCACACACAAAATTAACTGTATCTATAACTTGTATGTACTCTCTCTAAATATATATAAAAGATAAACCATATAATTAAAAAAATGCATTGAACCATTCACAATAGATGCATAATCCGTGTAATGCTGTCTCGCTTGCGCCTTCCAACACTACCACACAAACATGAACTTTCCTAAATACACACACACACACACATATTTATATATATATATATACTAATATATAGTAGTAGACCTTACACTTTGCCCTACTTGTGCGCTAGTTGGTATTTCATTTTGTTTTTAAAATAAATATGAAAGAAAACTGAAAAAAAAAAACTAATTTAAAAAATTATATAAATATATATAGTTAATAATTGATTAACAAAATAAACAGCGTTTAAGGCAAAAACAAAGTTAGTCATTTAAGTTATGTAAAGCGAAATGTGAAGTACGAAATTAAGTACATATATGAAATATTATTTGAATAAGAATACTAGAGTTTGTATAAAATTGTATAGCTATAAGGCAACTAGGTTTTCTTGTTTTTATTTCATTATAATTATTATAATTAATACTTCTATTTTTTTTTTTTTTTTTTTAACAATGGATACCTATTATCTTATTAAGTAAGTTTAGTATGATGCTTATAGCTTAAGCGCTGCATATTGTGTGTATATATTCGAGCGACTCTTAAAAAGGAAGTGTAAAAGCATCAGAATGCACGCGCAAATATCACGCTAATATTATTAAGTGAAATTGCGCGGCAAACAAGAAACAAAACAACAACAAACAAAAAAAAAAAAAACAAAAAACTAATGCAAAAAAAAAAAAAGAAGGGAATAACAAATCGTGTTTGAATTTAACATTAAGCATTGTGTAATTTCCATGATAAGCTCTTGATCTAACGATAAGCTGCTTTCTTTTATTAATGCCTCAAATGTTTTTATTATTATTATTATCATTATTATTATTATTGAATATCCCAATACGATTTCTGTACTATTATGATTAATATATTTAAAATTCTGCGCCTCAACAAAAAGGGAGAAAAAAAATCCACAAAAATTGTACAAACACATTGCACTTGAAATGCATAAACAAATGTAATGTGTTTTAAAGCAAAACAAAAAAAGTAAACGACAAAACAAGATAAACAAAAAACAAAAAAAAAAAAAAAACCGACAAACCAAGAAAAACTAAAACCACAACGGTGTACGATTATTCATTATCATAAACTTACTATATGCATATGCAATTCCTGCCATTTATTAGTGTACATATATACATGTATATTTATATAAATTTACGTATATTTTTTTTTTTTGGTTAGTTTCTTTTCGGCAGTCCCGAAAACTTTACCACTAAACCCCATTGAACTTGCGCCATGGGCCAGAACTTCTATGCGCCCCTCCCATCCCTAATTTAAATCTTAACTTAAACGAACTGCCATTTTGAGAGAGGTTTTTAAAACAAAACATAAGTGAAAAAGAAAAAACATTAGACTTTGTACATGTATAACATTTAGGCTGTTCTTTCCATTTGTAAGAGACAAGAAACCAAAAACTTAAGAATGAATTGTGCATGCAGTGAAAATATGGCAACGTTTGCCAGTGTTGGCTAAGTTTAGTTTCTCGACTATCCATTAACTGACAAAAAGAATATATTTCTAGTTACCTTCCTTGCTCCCTTCATACCATGCGCCCCAGCACAATCATTTCTCGATGGCAGCTGAGAGCTTGCGACTTGGCAGCTGCTTTGAAGCCCACCTTACACCCAACACAACACACACACACACATAGAAATTCACGCATGCATGCAGTACTGTTCGCACGCACACACACATACACACCAACATGCAGACGATGCGTTGTAAACGAAATAATGTTAGAATGTCAAAGTAAAACTAATAAGAATTATTAAATTTATGCACTCGTCTGTTGAATATTTATATATATATATAATGTGTAGTTAATATGAACTAATTGATTAAAATATGCATACGTACACATGTACATACATACTTATGACGTAACGGGGTGTGCGTGCGTGTGTAATACAGTCGAAAAAAGTTAGGTTAGGTTTAAGCTGTAAGACTTGAAAACGATGCAAACAATTTAAAATACACACACACACACATATGTTAGTAGCACACACCCACACACACACACACACAGGATGCATACTAGTTGGATATTAATATTAGTGTTGAGGTTATGTCGTAAATTTTCCAATATCCGATCACTGTTTGCCTAGCCAAGTAAGTTGTAACATGTAACGGTTTTTATATATATACATATATATATATATATATATAATAGCACTGTATTTGATTTGTGTACTTGTCAAAATGCATACATATATCGATGTACAACTATCGGCTACAGCGATTGTTCTTTACGAAACGTGCGTGGTCATGCGATATATGTACAGCAGTAGCCGATCCAACGCGAATATATACATATATATATATGTGTGTGTATATATATATATGACGAAATTTCATAGCTATTTAAGGTGAATTCGTAACAAATTATTATATGCATACAAGTAAATCAACTGATGTGTAATGTATACTTAGCTAATTTATGCGTAAGTCGAACAACGATCATAATATTATGATGAAGTGGAAGCCGTTGCCGCGGCAACCTAATAAATGCCGTGTTGCGTGCACGCAAAAACAAACAACAAAAAAACAAAAAAAAAAAAAACAAACAATGCAAAATATATGTATGTATATATAATTATAGGTATTGTCCCGTTTACCACTTGATGTAGGTAAACTTAAAGGTCTTCGGATCGCTGGCCTCGCACACGTACAGCATCAATATTTTGCAGTTGGCATCGTTGATCAGCTCCCGGGTGCCGAACATGTGGACGCAATTCTCGTTGCCGCCGTAATTGTCGGGCATCTGTTTGGGTCCGTTCCAGGGTGCAAAGGTCATGGGGCGGCCAGTTGATAGCCAGTAGAAGGCGCCCTCGGTGCCCAGATCATTGCCGGATATCCAAAAGTAATCGTTATTCTTGAAGCCCTTGGCCTTAATATACTTGACCAGCGCCTCCAGTTCCGGCTTATCCTCAATGGAGGCCAAGTGAGCGTTCATCATGCGGCAGGCAGCCGCTGCCTGGAACCAGTTCACCTTGTTCATCGGCTCAATGTAGTAATAGTTGTCGCCAATCCGTATAAACGGTGTCGTATCAATGTCCGACGGAATGCCTGCAACATATGGTTAGCCACTGTGGAATGACCAAAAGTGATGGAACCACTTGGAAATACACTCACCATTGTACACCTCCGTGCGGTAGTTTGTGAATATATTCACATCCGGCAGATAGGTGAGCGCCGGAGCACAACAGCAGCTCAGGATTACCAGGCGCAACAGTATTAGGTGTGCTTCTTGTTGTGGATGCATCTTGGCTCGATGGCTGCGACTCTAATTAACTGTAAACGTTCAACGTCAACTGCCTTTGCCTCCCGGCTGACTGGGCTTTTATGCACAACTTGGCCTGGCACCGGCTATTCCAAGTCCAATCTCTGTCAGCTGTGGCAGCTGTTATGCAAAAAACAGCTGCACATGCACCGTGGGCAAAGCATTCCCAGGCCATAGGAATGTCACTAAGAAAACTAAACGAACCAGCCACGTACTCTGCGAAAGAGTATCCTTGATTAATTCATTGAATTGAACTCTTCGGCCCGGTTTTTTTTATTTTCTTAGGAGATACTGCCCAATACGTTGGATATAGCGGATATAGCTACCTAATGTCTATTTCCGCATGCTTCTGTATCAAATAACATTCTACAAGTGATAAAGTTCTCCCTGCATATTTTCTTGATATAATTAATTAATCTTTTAATCCGCATTAGTAGAGTATTCAGTTTTCGTACACACTTTAGTTAATCTTAATATGCAAAAGTGTTTTCCCTGATTCGTTGACTGACTGATCTACGCACAGCTCAAACCGCCAGAGATCGACTACGAAGGCCACACAACGTATTTTAAGCAACGCCCTTCTATGCGATTCTCACGAATTCAAGCAAGGCTTACCGGCTTTCGAGCTTGGTTCATAAGCGTTTTATTGTCAAGTTGTGTTCCGCTCTGATCTCAGCTTTAACTCAATTTCTCATTTACTTTCTATCTTTTTCCCCTCCATTTTAATCCATTTCTTAATCTAACCTCTGCTCTATTTCTTCCATTCTTATAGCCATGTGCATCTATAAAAGTCTGTCTTCTGCTTCTACTTGTATGTGAACTTTTGGGTAAGTACATGTTTACAGTAATATTTAATAAACATTATTTATACATAAATAAGAATTTATATCAAGTCAACATAGACCTGGGTAGGGGCTAACTTCTAGTATATTTATAGATGCCTCATTTTACTCAAATTAAAAATTCCATTAAAGCCTCCCAAAAGTATGCTTCACATTCAGTTTGATATAAAAACCGTTAGAGATGTTTGGTTTAAAAAAGTATTCCAAGGCTTACATTTTTCCATAAACATAAATACAGAGCAAAAATAATGAATTAATTAAAAAAAGACATGCGATCTTTGATCTTTGACTTAATACATTCGACTAAATAAAAAAAAAAAACGAACATAAGCTGTCACAGTTAAATAAATTCGTTAATAAACTATTTGCTAAGACAGTCATCAAATGGCAAGCCCAATAGTACCAGTACCCGGTAGTACCAGGATCTCAGCTATAGCTAATTCTAATAATATAATATAAGTTAAATTGAGCATTGCGAATATGGTAAAGCACACGACGGTTCGTTTCCAACGGACTTTCGCATGAGTAATAATCCCAGGCAGGCAGATGCGCGTTGAGTCAGCGGCTAGATACAACCATTTGATGTTGTGGGAATTACATTTACAATGGAATCCCCTGATGGTCTAGTCGCTAGTCTGGCGCCTGCCTCCGTTCGACTCAATCGGACATTCGTAGATCGAATGTGGGCTGTTGGTTCTCCTCCTCGGGCTTGGGCCAAACAATGCCCTCAATCCAGTCCAGATAGCTAGAGACGCGTGTATAGACGCTGGGTGGTCCGCTGGCGCAGCCCTGGCCCAGCGAGGTGACGCCCACCACATACCAGCTGGAACCGTTACGCATGAGAAGCGGCCCGCCCGAGTCGCCCTGGCAGGTGTCGCCCATGGCTCGCATGTCACCGGCGCACAATTGGCTGGCGGCCAACCCATCGGACAGGACCTCACGCGGATAGTGTGGCTGGCATTGATCGGTGCTAACATGCTGCAGGTCGACCTTGAGCAGCTGCGACGAGGAGAGGCCCGCGAAACGTATCTGTCCATAGCCAATGGCTGTTAGATCTGTCTCTGCCAGCTGGGGACGGGCCCAAAGACAGGCAATGCGCAGACCCGATGGCTGCGCTTCCTCCAGCTCCAAGAGCGCAATGTCATTATACGCGGTGTTGTCATTGTAGCCGGGATGCACAAAAACGCGCCTGATCATGTGGTCCTCACCCATGCCAATGGTTAGATTGTCGCCGCCCAGGCGCACCGTGACCGGCAGCTGTCCGCCAAAGCTGATGCAGTGCGCCGCCGTCAGCACAAATGTGGCCGATATGAGGCTGCCGCCACAGCGATAATAAATGCTCTCATCAAAATTGGAGCGCCAGCCCAGCGCGGCCATAAACGGGAATTCCCGATGCTTGGTTGGCCGGCCGCCCACAATGGAGATGCCAAAGACAAGCGCAGCCTCGCAAGCTGCAAAACTCTTGCTGTTAAACAGGAAGCAAACTAACAAATCTTATGTACAATACGCACCTCGATCGCTGCGTCGCTGCATAAGAGCTGCCAGAGTTGGACGCACTGTTGTGCTGGTCGTGCTGATGCTGCTGCTGCTGCTGCTGCTGTTGAGGGCACAGCACACATACTGATCGAACTTGACGAAATAACAGGTCTTGGGAGTGACATGCTCCCGCTCCCAGCGACTCAAGGCAGCGGGGCAATCCTCCAGCAGCTTACAGATGCCAGGCACACGCTGTTGCTCGTCCGCAAAACAATCATCGTACGATTCCTTGGGAAAGACAATGCCGCGCTGGGACTGCGGCCGAATGGCGGCCTGGGCCACTGAAACGGAATCGAGTTTAAATGCCACAATTTGTATGTGGGGGCAAAGTGAAATTTGGTAGCCTACCTGCCGCCCCCGCCGCCGCCTTTGTGCCCAGCACAATCAGCAACAAGAATGCGGTTTGCATTTTCTGAGTTCGCCTTTCAATTGGGACTTTCTTTGCTGCTCTCTACGGCTGCTCGACTGCAGGCCTCGCTTCTAACTGGCTTCTCGTTGGCGCCTGCGCCGGTTGCTGCTTGCTGCTTGCCGATTGCTGGTTGGAAAGTGTGCGTCGCATTTGCGAAACCAGCCAGGCAACTTCACATGTTTCGCTGGCTGAAATCTTTTTGAGCTACGCCTTTGGCTTAACAATTGTTTTGTTTGGCTTCATTATTTTGGCATTCGGATGGAGGGGTGCTACTTTCAATGTCGATAGCACGTGCTTGTGCTATAGGCCAGCGAACCGTGACCGGTTTTGTTAGCTATATTTAAAGGGCAAATCATTGCTAATCACATATGTATGTTCGAATTTACACAGCGAATTGTTTTTCTTATTTTGTCGCACTTAATTGTTTTGTTGTTGCTATTGCGCGCCAATTTTTTAGTTGCGCAAATCTCTTAGTCATTCGTGGTGGCGCCATCTGTTGGTCGTTTTGTTGCCCACAGCTGTTGCGTAGCTGTTATACAAAGTGCTTATTATTATTTAAATCTTTAACTAACTTAGTTACCACAACAGCATTTACATATTATTTTGTTGGCTTATTAATTAGTACGAACATTTTCCAATTTAATAATTTCAATTATGTCCATTGCATGTTCGGTATATATTCGATACATCGATACATCGACACGAAAAAATACCACAAAATATTGTCTTATGCCTATCGATACACGAACACTGCCGATATTGGCAGCGACAATTCAGTCGAAAAAAATTCATTGAACGAGTCGGACGCGGTTTGAGTGCGAGCTTTTGTTTTGTGTACGTCTGGTAGCCGGCATTTTACGCGCGTTCTGTATTTACATTGTAAGTGACGCGCGCAACAGGACGTAAACAACGGTTAAATTTATTAAAAATAGACGCGTGCATGCGTAATTTAATACGCATACACGACCACACACACTCACACACATACACAGATGTAAATCGTGTGTGCGTGCTGTTTGTATTCTGTTTTTGTTTTTGTTTTAGTGCAATTTTTTCCAAGTGTTCTATTTATGTATGTGTGTGTATGTGTTGTCTATGCGTGCACTGACACTGTACAATTGTTCCAATTTGAATAACGATCTCTGAAGGTAAACCAGCTGCTCGCTTAGTTGCTTTTCTGGTTCGACGTTTAGACGTTTTTTGCTTTTTCAAAATAAATAAAAATAAAAATAATTCAAGTGCAACCCTTTTGTTTGTTTCGCAATGACGTCATTGGCCAATGCCAATGATCATAAGCGCGCGCGCTTCTCATTTACTGAATTATGCATATAACATATAACGTATATATGTATGTATATATACCGTATATATGTTTGCATTTGTTTTCTGAATCATCATCCTCTAATGCTGCGCCAAATCCCGCTTCGATCAACTCACGAACTCTCGATTGGTTTGCGGCCATGACGTCAGCTGCCATTTCCAAATGAAACTTTAGTCATGAGCTCATGCCAGAATTCTGGGCCCAGGTTAAAATATATGACTAAAGTTACAAGCATTGTTTCCGGCATATTAACAAACAATAACAACAACTACAACTACAACAACAACAACAACCACAACAACTATTTTCAACGACAACGATCGATTGTAAAGCACATCAGCCGTCGTTCTTATCAGCTGATAATGAGAAATTGCTCAAGGCACACGATAAGATAACATACAAATATTTAGGCAGATACATAAACACACACAAAGACACGCGCACACACACACACACATACACATACACATGCTGCAGTACGAAAAAGGTGCGCAATGTGTTCAAAGTTGTAGTTGTCCATTTATGGCACTTTTTATACCCTGTTCATTAGGTGCAACGGAGCTTTGCCAGTGTTGTGCAATGTCCGGCTATCTGTCAAGTGCTTTGAAGATTCGACCCAATTTGTCAAACCGTTCCGATCCGCCCCCGGCAAATTGCAAAAACGATATTTTCTAATGTCACAATTGGCGAAACACTTTGTTCCGCTAACTGTGCACCGTCTTGAGACTTCAATAGCAACTTTTTCTTTCATTTGATCTGTTTTTGTTTAATGACATTAAACGAAAAAAAAGTTTAATTTTCTTTCCGTTGGTTTGAGCAATTTACAAGCTGTCAGTTTTTCTTTGTATACATTTTAGAGTTAAGTACAAATTGCACGATTTCCAGTAAAAAAAAACTCAGTATAACCGGTTGCAAAAAGAAGATCAAAAACAACAA